AGTTCAGTTCGCTCACACGCTGCGAATGAGCCAAGTTAACGCCAGCCCACTTCTTCCAAAAGCAGAACTGTACAGAAAGCAACGGGTGGGTTAAACAGAAAAGAAAACCGGCCGAGGCAGTGAGGAGAAGGTGACTTCAGGGGCTGGGTGTGTCGACGGCTGTCCCTGGCTCACGGCAGAGCAGGAGAGAAAACACTGGAAAAGGCAGCAGCAGATGGGAGAGAAGCATCTCCCCATGATGTCCCAGGAACTCCCAGGAAGCTGGTTCAAAGTACAGATTCCAGCGTGTCACCCCCAGCCGTGAGTCTGGGGTCCCCCATGTTCCTAGTTCCAGCTCTGTGAGGGCACCCTAAAGTGAGTGGTCTCTGGGACAGGAAGAGACCCCCTCCAGCTGCCCCTACACCCCACCCAGACTGACTCTCTCAGGTCTTTGTTCACTGGCTCTTGTGCCTGACCTGAAACCCACAGCCGTGGCCTGGGGCTGTGTATTTGACTTTTCACCTCTTTACTCCATACTGCCCTGGGTGAGCCCTCACCCCTTCAGACAATTCCGAAATCATACCAACACCAGCATCCTACCCTGAGCTGCAGACCCCCTGCCACCCCCGCTGCAGGCTCCCGCAGACTCTCCCCAGCAACCCCCCCTGGCCAGGGCACACCACCCGCCTTCACGGCACCGCTGCCTCCTTTCTGCACCCCCGCCTCCCCTCTGCTATTGTCCCCGCAGCAGCACGAGGCCCCTGGGTTCAAGCCCCTGAACTCAAACCAAAACCATTCCTGGGGCTGGGGATGCAGAGGGGACAGAGCAGACAGAGGTCCTTCCAGGGTTCACTCACGGGGCTCCACTTCCCAAGGGCCTGTCCTGTCTCTCCTCTCCTCCTCTCTGCACCCCAGGCCCATGCTGGTGTCCTCATCACCTGTCTGGGCTGTTATGTGCACGGGGAGGGTCTCGGCAGCTCTTGGACAGTGTTACTTCCCCAGGACTCTGGCCACCTGCCTGAGGGCAGACATGACTCCTAAAATCTCTACCTTTGAGGACAGAGATAGAGGAACTGGCCGGTGAAGGTGTTGACACCACGGAGACCTGGTGAATCCCATCGACGTCAATAAACTGCTTGGTGGAGCCCTGGTCCAGCGACACCATGCAGGCCTCAGCCAGGCAGCAAAGGATGTCGTGAACAGATGTCAGCTGCCCTCTTGGCAGGATCAGACTGCTGTCAATTCAAATCACCCAGAAGGACGGGACAGAGTCCAGACTTAGCCAATGCTTCCCTCTGATGTGTGGGCTGGAGGCCCCGGTTGCCAGGATGACCACGCACAGGCTGCTGAGTGTCCTCTTGTGGTACACGTGCCATCACCCTGGACATTCGAGGCACTGGGTCCCAGTAAGAGGACGCAACTGCCCAGGAAGGCTGCACCGGGTACCGAGGTAAGGAAGGAGGCTGAGGTCTCTGACTTTACACTTCTGCAGAGGGCAGGAATAACACACACGTCCCGAAACGCAAAGTGAGTGAAATGTCTCAGCGAACTTGGAATTTGGATGTTTGTGACCATTACTTAATGTCTGATTTTGAAAGCGTTTGGGAAAAATTCTTCCTTGTTAGCCTTTTTTTTTTTTTTTTTTTTTAAGACAGAGCCTCGCTCTATCACCCAGGCTAGAGTGCAGTGGTGCAATCTCGGCTCGCTACAACCCCCGCCTCCCAGGTTCAAGATCCCCCTGCCTCTGCCTCCCAAGTAGCTTGGATTGCAGGTTCCCACCACCACACCCAGTTAATTTTTACATTTTTAGTAGAGACGGGGTTTCACTATGTTGGCCAGGCTGGTCTTGAACTCCTGACTTCAAGTGATCCGCCCACCTCGGCCTCCCAAAGTGCTGGGATTCAGGCATGAGCCACCACTCCCAGCTTTCTTATTAGCCTTTTGTATTTGCCCTATGGGGCATCTGAAGCTCTTAATGAGAAAACCAAAGTATTTAGTTTGAAAATGCAGTTTTACATGCATAAAATAATTTAATTAACTATGTTTATAAATGAAGTTGAGAATTTGAATTGTTCAACTTGAATTAATATAATAATAGTTAACTTCTTAAACATGATTACATTTTATATAACACTTACTACATTTATAGACAGGATAATGTTTTTAAAAAGGCAGGTTTCTAGATACATAACTTGATTATATCAAAGGTTCGTGGAAGTATATGACCGTAAATGGGTTTTCCTTTGGCAGGAATCGTGCTGCAGGCATCAGAAACGCAGTGAGGGGCTAAATGTTTTACTCTCCGGGACTCACAACCAGGTGCTTTGATTACACTTGTGAAAATAAGTGATTAAAAACAAACAAACAAAACCAATAAATACCTAACATGAACATCCTCCTTTCTTACTTAGAATTCCCCTGAGATTCCCCACAGGCTGCAGGGAAGGACTGAAGCCACGTGGCCCCATGACACAGGCTCCGGCCGACTTCTGAGCCCGTCTCTGCGTTCTCCATGATTCGACAATGCCAGCTAATTCGTGGGTTCCTGGACACTCCATGCCATTTCCTCTGCCTGAGCGTCTCCAACCACCGGTCTGCTTGTTAAGTTGCCCCTCCAAATCCAGCCTGAAGTCACCTCCTCCAGGAAGGCTTCTGGGACCCTCTTACATGTGACAGCCCACCCCTCCTTCATCCCTGCCTGGCTTCCTGCAGACTTGAGTTTTTGATTCTTTGCCTGCTTCTGTGGGGGATTCTGAGGAGACAGGGTGTGCACTGGCACTGGCTGGGAGGAGCTGGTATGGGGTTTTGATTCTTCCCAAGGTGGCACTGCCTTGGCAGAGCCCTACAGTGAGGTCATGAGCCGCACACGCCTGCCGCTTCCGGGGCAGATTGGGTCTCCAGGAAGGGCCAGCAGCAGGGATACTGACCAGGGAGGGGCTGGAGGGGACTGCCCCCACAGCTGTGATGTTACCCTGAGAGGGTGGGTCAGCTGTGGGGCTGGGGAGATGTTCGGGCAGCAGGGGGGCAGCAGGGACAGTGCTTGCCCCTGGAGGGCTCTGAGCAGGTTGGGGGGCCCCCTCCGCGGCTCTGAGTGAATGAAGCAGGGGAAACTAGCAGGGTGCCATCCCCACAACCTGCAGCCACAGAAAGGCTCTGAGAAGGCCCGAGCGTGAAACAATTTACCTGCCCAGAATCTGGAGAATCCCACCGGCAGAAGACAAAAGGGAAGACAGACGTCCACAAGAATGTCCTGCTCGGAAGGGACAGTTACAGTGTTCCCTGACACTTTTAGGAATTTACCTCTCTTTATAATTTACTTTGAAGCCAGAGGAACCTTTCTCAGCCTGAGACTCGTCCCCCAGGTTCCCACCATGGTTCATGTGGAAATGCACACGGTGTCCCCCAGGACTGGCGGCTGGCGATGTAGGCAGAGTCCCTCCACGAGATGCCTGGGCAGGGGCCACCCATGGAGCCCATCGGGGTCAATGACCTGATGAAGCAGCCACAGGCTCCAAGTCGGTGGCATAGGTGGGAATCGGCACTACCACTCAGAGCATATGTGGAACCAAGGAGGGCAACGGAAAATCTCCTGGGAGATGGATGCAGCGGGCGGAACCCCGAGAACAGGATGCACCCAGCAACCAGCCTTCTCCTGGCCCCACTGTTGCAAGGGGCTTGGGCCACGGCTCCCAGGAGGCACCACCCTCCGGGATACAGTGACAGTTATCAGGACGTCCCCTGAGCCCAGGCTCCGAGCCCACTGTACAGCAGCTTCCAGTGTACAGAAGGATGGGAGCCTGACCTTGGCCTCTGTCAAGACATCTCCAAAGTGGGTGTCGAACCTTTGCCATGACACGCAGGGCACAGTCAGGACAAACCTCTGGCCTCGCAATGTGGGGGGCATAATCCGCTCACTCTGGACCCCGAGTCAGGGACGCCTTTCTCTCGAGACTTTAGCACCCCATTCTCCAACTGACTTCCCTGTCGTGAGGGCAGGGACTCTGGAAACCCATCAGAGGTGGCCAGGGCCTTGGGTGGCCTGCCTGATGACCTGCCATGCATGCCTCAGAGCTGCCAGCTTCAGCCACCAGCTTTGTGACCCAGGCCCTCAGGTACCTGGGAGTCCCAGCTCTGTGTTCTCCAGGCATTGGTGGTGTGGAAGTTTCATTCTCAGAGATCACATAGAGACTCGCTCATGGGCACACACACTTGTACACACAGACCCATGGCTCCCTCTAGGCTTCAAGGGCTGGCCCTGAGCAGTCCAGCAGCCCAGCAAGGGGTCGGCAGCGTCTGAGGGGAGAGAGCGTCACTGTGACACCCGTGTGGTTTCATCAGAGAGACTCCGTGGATGTGAAGGGCTCACGGCACCGTCCTGGTTTCCACTCCTGGTTTTCATCGGTGCTGTTGTCTGGACAGTGGAGGACGGTCCCGCTCGTCAGTCCATGCCCGGCCGTGGGGTCTGCCACTCTCTGGGACGGTCCTGCTCGTCAGTCCGTGCCTGGCCCTGGGGTCTGCCACTCTCTGGAATGTGCTGATTGGGTCTCCAGAGCAGCCCACCTGTGGCTGAGCGACTCTGCAAGACCCTGCAGACACCTGCCTGGCGGCTCTCCCACCATCCAGACACGTGCCTTCCGTCAACCTGGTCTCCACGCTTGTCTCGTCTCCCTGCTGACCGTTCCCCTCAGATGCCCTGGTCTCACCACCACTTTCTCAACGAACCCACTGCAGAACTCCACAGTCGTGGAAGCTGGAGGTGGACCCGACGTGAAGGCCCCCGTTCGCCCATCTGGGCACATCAGCAGGTCCAGGGGAAGGTGCGGGGTGCCCAGGCAAGGGCCCCTCGGACTGACCTGTTGGGGTGGGACCTTCAGGGCCTCTTCCGTAGTCATGCTGGTCAACTTGGAAAGATCTAGGAAAAACTCAGCTGTCAACCTACTATGACCAAAATGGCTACCAAACATACTAACTCCTCCATGCCCAAGAGGGTAAGAGGCCCTCACACATACAGCCGGGGAGAATTAAATTACTGTGGCATGATTTCCAGAAGACAATTCTAAGGAAAAATTCAGAGGCTTGAACATGACCAAACTGTCCAACTTCAGGAAAGAATCTGAAATGCAAACTAAAATAGATTTCACATTGTTTTTATTTAAAAATTATTTCCAAATCTCGAGAACCTGTGGGATGGGGGGGGGGGGGGGGAACACCAAAATGTATTTTAAAAGATACCACCATAGGATTCCTAATAGTGAAAAACTGAAAATAATTAGATGATCCCTTTATTTAGGGAATTGTTGAGTAAGTAATCCATTCATAACAAGAACTCACAAACCCATTTTAAACAATCATGGAGGGAGGATTTTAGTGACATGAGGGTAAAAAAACCTATTCCGTTAAGAAGAAGAAAGTAAAAAGCATGATCCAAATACATTTGCATCACAAACTCAACAGTGAAAGGAAAGACCCCACTTACGCTGTGGGAATGTGCAGGAAGGACGGAGATCAAAGGTTAATGGGGCTTCCTGCTTGGATGTGGGGTGGAGGGGAGGGCGCATCATGAGTGATATTTTCCAGCTTCTTCTACATTGCCTATACTTTCCAAACTTTCTACAAAAAGTATACATTAATTTTATAATCCGCAAAACTAAAATGTGAGAAATGTTAACTAATGTTGCCTTGATTTTAAAACAGCCAATAGCCCTAGTTACAATTTCTTGTGTATGTTTCTATTACAATAGTCACCCTACTCATGGTATTTCGCGAGAAGCAAAAACTATGTAGAGCTGCTCCTCTTCACAGCTCCAGTAACCATAAAGAAAAAAGAGCGAAAAGCACCATTCAGAGCTTTCTGCAGACTAGTGATAAAAGCTGGCCCAGAAGAAACTCAGAATATTTTCTCCTTGGTGATCAAGCCAATAAATGGAGAGCTGAGAACGTTCACTCCGGAGAAAATGCCGCAGGCTGCCTTCCCTCTCCAGGACCAGGGCCAGGGCGAGACCACCGAATTCACCACTCTACTGTGAATGCACCACCCAAAGCCGCTCACCTGGCTCCCTGCTCCCCGCCTTATCCACCCCTCACTCAGAACCAGCCCCCATCTCACCCCACCCCTCCCTCACAACCAGCCCCCGCCTCACCCCACCCCTCCCTCACAACCAGCCCCCGCCTCACCCCACCCCTCACTCACAACCAGCCCCCGCCTCACCCCACCCCTCACTCACAACCAGCCCCCGCCTCACCCCACCTCCTCCACAACCAGCCCCGCCTCACCCCACCCTCCCTCACAGCCAGCCCCGCCTCGCACCCCTCCCTCACAACCAGCCCCGCCTCACCCCACCCCTCCCTCACAACCAGCACGCCTCACCCCCTCCACCTCCCCAGCCAGCCCCGCCTCACCCCACCTCACTCACAACCAGCCCCGCCTCACCCCCACCCCCTCCTCCCCACAACCAGCCCCGCCTCCCACCCCCACCCCTCCCCTCACAACCAGCCCCCGCCTCACCCCACCCCTCCCTCACAACCAGCCCCGCCTCACCCACGCCTCCTCACAACCAGCCCCACGCCTCCCCCCCACCCTCCCTCACAACCAGCCCCGCCTCACCCCACCCCTCACTCACAACTTCAGCCCCACCCGCCTCACCCCACCCCACCCTCACAACCAGCCCCCCATGCCTCACCCCACCCCTCCCTCCCTGTGGCCCCACAGCCTCACCCCACCCCTCCCTCACAACCAGCCCCCGCCTCACCCCACCCTCCCCTCACAGCAGCCCCCGCCTCACCCACCCCTCCCTCACAACCTTCCCAGCCCCCGCCTCACCCCACCTCCCTCCCACTGGCCGCCAGCCCCCGCCTCCTCCGCCCTCACTCCTGGCCAGCCCCGCCTCACCGCCCCCTCACTCACAACCAGCCCCGCCTCACCGCCTCCCTCACAACCAGCCCCCGCCTCACCGCCCCTCCCTCCCCAGCCAGCCCCGCCTCCACCCCGCCCCTCCCACCTCACAACCAGCCCCGCCTCACCGCCCCTCCTCACAGCCAGCCCCGCCTCCCGCCCCCTCCCTCCCCCAGCCAGCCCCCGCCTCACCCACGCCCCTCCCTCACAACCAGCCCCGCCTCACCGCCTCCTCCTGGCCAGCCCCCGCCTCACCCGCCCTCCTCACAGCCAGCCCCGCCTCACCCGCCCCTCCCTCCCCAACCAGCCCCGCCCTCACCGCCCTCCCTCACAACCAGCCCCGCCTCACCCCAGCCCCTCCCTCCCCAGCCAGCCCCCGCCTCACCGCCCCTCCCTCCCCTTGGCCCCGCCTCACCCCGCCCCTCCTCCCACAGCCAGCCGCTCACCGCCCTCCCTCACAACCAGCCCCCGCCTCACCCCGCCCCCTCCCTCACAACCAGCCACGCCTCACCCCGCCCCTCCCTCACAACCAGCCCCCGCCTCACCCCGCCCCTCCCTCACAACCAGCCCCGCCTCACCGCCCCTCCCTCCCACAACTGGCCCCCGCCTCACCCCACGCCCTCCTCACAACCAGCCCGCCTCACCCCGCCCCTCCCTCACAACCAGCCCCTCCTCTCGCCTCCTCACAACCAGCCGCGCCTCTTGCCCCCTCCCTCACAGCCAGCCCCCGCCTCACCCGCCCCTCCCTCACAACCAGCCCCACCGCCTCACCCCGCCCCTCCCTCCCAGCCAGCCCCCGCCTCACCCCGCCCCTCCCCTCACAACCAGCCCCGCCTCACCGCCTCCTCACAACCCAGCCCCGCCTCACCCCGCCCTCACTCACAACCAGCCCCGCCTCACCCCCGCCCCTCCTCCAGGCCAGCCCCGCCTCACCCCGCCCCTCACTCCAGAACCAGCCCCGCCTCACCCCGCCCCTCACTCAGAACCAGCCCCCGCCTCACCGCCCCCTCCTCCAGAACCCAGCCCCCGCCTTACCCCACCTCACTCACAACCAGCCCAGCTTCCCTCTGGCACATCGCCGGCAGAGCCCAGCGAGCTCCTTTCCCGGGTGGCTGGGAGGCGGAGATCTGCAGTGTCGTCCGTGAGAGCTGCCTACAGATCTTGGGGAGGAGTTCAGAAATGTCCCCACCAAGGAGGCTGATGACACTTGGCCAGGGAGCAGATGAGGAGAGCCGGCGGGATGTCTATCGAGGGGCAGCAGGTACAAATCCTATGAATGGAACTGAGCCTCTCCCAAATCCTTGAGCCAGAGCTCCTTGACTTCACCCAGATGGGCCAAGTGTGCCGGAGACTGAAGGGAATCCACCGCTTTATGAGGACCTCACCCCACCCCTCACTCACAACCAGCCCCCGCCTCACCCCACCCCTCACTCACAACCAGCCCAAACTTCCTCAGCATCATCGCAGAGCCCAGCGAGCTCCTTTCCCGGGTGGCTGGGAGGCGGGAGACTCTGCAGTGTCGTCCGTGAGGAGCTGCCTACAGATCTTGGGGAGGAGTTCAGAAATGTCCCCCACCAAGGAGGAGGCTGATGACATGGCCGAGGAGCAGATGAGAGCCGGCGGGATGTCCTGTGAAGGGGCAGCAGGTACCAAATCCCTATGAATGGGAACCAAACCTCTCCCAAATCCAACTTGGAGCCAGAGCTCCTTGACTTCACCCAGATGGGCCAAGTGTGCCGGAGACTAGAAGGAATCCATAGCATGGGGAAGCCGTTGTTGTCCGATCCATTCACCGAGTCAGTGATGCTGGCAGGCGGCAATGGCTGGGCGACTGCATCAAAGACGGGCCAGTGAGGGGTAGTCGGCACCCTCTAGTCCTATCCCGGAGGTGCCACCCAGCAGGCACAAACGCCCTGGACCCCAGCAAGGTGAAGGTGAAGGTGCCAGTGCAGAGGGCAGGCCCAGCAGACGTTTCCCACAATGTGGGTTATGCTAGGTCCAAAGTGGGCGCTTCTAAGTGCCTGGTGTCCAGGGAACAGAGGAGGGAGTGCCTGGAGCTAAGACACAGACTTGCCCTGTGGAGGCCTGGGCGGTGAACCGGCACTTGACTCCAGAACCTCAGGGCCTCAGGCCGTGTTCCACGAGGCACCCTTTCCTCTCTGCATGGGTACTTCCGATGGCTTCTGTGGCTTTCTTTTCTTTTCCTTTCTTTTAGTTTACTTCCTAGGCATTGCACAGGTAGTTATTTTACATTGTATATCTGATGATGCTGATTTCTTAAGTGCTGGAGGGCACATATCTACTGGATTCTGTGCTTTTTCTTTTCGTTTATACAGACTCCAACTCAGTTTAGGTGATTTCTTTGCGTGCTTTCCGGTTTGTGATTATGAGTTCAGCTTTGGCTGAAGTGAGTCTGCAGGAAACCAGAGGCCGTAAGTCACATGTCCACCTCTCAAAGAGGCTTCCCACCGGGCTCTCCCGGGGCCTCAGGCACTGCCCACACTGTAGTCCTCTCTGAGTCCTGGTTTGACACTGGAACTGCAGGCCTAAAACTTCATTTCTTACGCCCAGGGCTCCTGCAGTGTTTCCACAGGGCAGCCACAGTTTTCTTACTTACCTTTCTCGTCTCAACTCACGTTTGTTTTCTCTTTTCTTTAGACATTCACTCACTTTATTGCAACTCCAGCAATGTTTGATAAGTGTTTTTCATTGTTCATCCAGGACTTAGTTGTATTGTAACAGATCAGGACCCTCCAGTGCAGAGGGGAAGCCCTCCACCCCTCATAGAGAGGCCTTGATTCCTTATCTGTGCCGTTTAGAACCTTCCACCCTCCTGTGGAGGAAGCCGCTTTTTAGATCTCTAAAATCCACAGATTCAGACTCTGGTTGGAGCTTCTGCAATTAACAAGTCCAGAACAAACTTGGGAGTTGCCCTCTGGGCATTATCCAGAGCTCGGAGACAAAGCACAGGCATTGAAGTCTCCCCGTGCACAGCCCTCCCAGGCTGGAGTGTGGAAAGCTGCACGGGGCAGCCCGTCTGCTCTGCCTCCTGTCCTGACACGGTCACCTGTGTCCTGCACTTTCCTGGTTCTCTAAGGCACAAAAGAGCAGCTGCCTCGGGGTGAAACCTCTGCCCACAGACCTAAAGGAAGAACTTCAGTAAAAGCAGCAAATAGGCCTGTCTCCACTGATATGGTTTGGCTGTGTCCCCACCCAAATCTCACCTTGAATTGTAATAATCCCAGGTGTCCAGGGTGGAGCCAGGTGGAGATAACTGAATCATGGGGGCAGTTTCCCCCATACTGTTCTCGTGGTAGTGAGTAAGTCTCTTGAGATCTGATGATTTTATAAAGGGGAGTTCCCCTATACAACCTCTCTTGCCTGCCGCCGTGTAAGATGTGACACTGCTCCTCATTCACTTTCTGCCATGATTGTGAGGCCTCCCCAGCCATGTGGTACTGTGAGTCCATTAAACCTCTTTCCTTTATAAACTACCCAGTCTCGGGTAAGTCTTCATTAGCAGTGTGAAAACAGGCTGATATACATCCTCCTAAGGTTTAAAAGGCCTGTACCGCAGAGCCTTCATCCTCTTTAACCAAACGCTAGCCTTAGCCACACCTGCCTCTGAAAAAAGGACTCAGCACTGCTGGGCTCCATCTGGCTGCAGGGGCCCTGATGGGGTGGCCGCTGGAGCAAGGTCACCAGGACAGGCACACGTCAGGGCTTCCTTAAGGCCCAGCCTGGCCCCTTGTCCCTCTGCAGAGGCCAACACATCTTCGGTCAGTGCCTGCTGCACACTTCCTGCTTCCCTGGAACACCCCTCGCCTGTAGGTGAAGCCTTGGTCAGCAAGGTCAAGGTCAGGCATGGCGTGGCCTGAGCTCAAGGTCTCATGCCCAGGCCACAGGGGTCCAAGCCTCACCCAAGAGAAACATTAATGACCTCAAGGTCAAGCGTGCTGTTTGGAATCTAAGCCGAAAGGCCCAAAGCCACACATCCTGCCCAATGAAGCCCTCTCACTGTGTCCTGCCCTCCTCACCCCATCGCCTTCTCTTATTTCTCAAAGTTCCTCACTCCGGGAACTGAGGGTCTTTGAGAGGGCTTAATACTAACAGCACCTCTTCCCCACGCAGGTTCAGAACCTGTTGGACACGAGATAAAGAATAAAAGACACAGAACTCAAATTATTACTTATGCCTAGTGAATGCCAAGGTGAAAGTCTTAGCTTAGTGCGGGGGCCAGCAACCTTGTTGATGGAAGCCAGAGTAAGAGCCTGCTCCTCAGGGGTGCACGGCTGGACCAGGGCAGACATCCTAGCACCAGCGCACCCGGCGGGGAAGGAGCTCTCAAGGGCACAGCGTCTCTGCAATCGGACAGCACCTAAGAGAAGCAGGTGCAACGGTGGGTTCAGTGAAGCAGACGCCCTCGCAATGTGGGTGGGCCTCATCCAACCCACTGAAGACCTGAGTAGAACACAAAGGTGGAGAGACAGCCCTCCCTCTGCCTGCCCGCTGGAGCTGGGACACTGACCTTCTCCTGCTGTCAGGCTGGAACTGTCCTGTCGTCGGCGTGTCTGGTTCTTGGGCCTCCAGGCTCTGGCTAGGGCGGCAGCACAGGCTCTCCTGCCTTTCCAGCTTGCAGACGACAGGGCGTTGGACCCCCTCATCCTCCGTAATCATGCGAGCCCGTTCCATTTCTTATAGCAATGCATCTCTAACTCCATTTCTCTGGAGAACCTTGACTAATACGGGAGAGAGAGAGGAGGGTCTGGGTCTTACAAGGCCCTGGCTCCCAGCAGCATACATCCCCAGACAGTGACGGCATAGCTCAAGGCCAGGGGTACTTAGGGAAAATCTCAATTTCTGGAAATCTGAGGGATCAGAGATTTACCTCATTTTCTACCAACAGCTGCACCATGAAATAAACATTTCGTTTCTGCAAACGGGAGCTCTGAATTCCAAGGCCACATCCACCTGTCCCTTGGCGGGTTGCTCGTGTGTCTGGCTGGGCGGTGACAGGGGGTATCTCACAAGGTCTCAGAGTCCAGGCTCCCAGCTCTGCTCCTCCTACCCTTCATAGTCCGGGTGCCTGTGCTGGGATTTCAGGGCCTTTCTCCTACCTCTGAGATCCTTTGCCACTTTTCCAAGGAGATGGAAGTCTGGCGTGAAGTGAGCCATGTCTCCATGGAGCACACTTTATAGATGGAAACTTCTTTCTCCAGTGAAGACTCTGAGATGGCCCAGGAGGAGAGCATCATGACCCTCAAGGAGAAATAGGCAGAATCTGTCTGTGTAGGTTGCAGCCTCAGTCCAGGGACCTGAGAGAGCCTAGTGGCCCTTGGAGGCGTCACCTGGAGGTTTTCACGTAAGTTAATGTGACTGGATGGGGGCGTGGCCCCGGTCACCACCCAGCACAGGTGACACAGCCAGCGTGGAGGCATTGGCTGCCTCTCTCCACGTCCCTTCAGGCCCATGTCACAGCTGCACTGAGGAAACTGAGGCAGCTTGGCAGCCTCCATGATGCTAGTGGAGCTGGAGGAGGCCCAACTCTTCCAGAGAACGCCTTGCAGAGCACAGGGCGTGTGTAGCATCTGGGCGGCACCTGGCTCTTTCCCTGCTCCCCCGGGACCTCCAGTGAGCTCTCTTCCTGCCTGCGTTGCCATCTCAGTGCTCACAGCTCCCAGTGACGGTGGGAGTGGTCCCTATGCCTGTGAAGTGTTGACGGGAGGAGAAAAACGTCTGTGTTTGGCATAGCGTAAAAAATCTCATTTTACAGTAGAAAAATCTATCCCATGATGCAGAGGCAACAAATACATAAAACCCGCTTCCTGCTGCAGCTCCAAGGAGGACAATCTGGAGCTCTCTCAGGCGACCTTCCAGGAATCCCTTCCTCATCCTTAGAAAAGAATCTTTCCTGTTGCTTCCCCAGTCTCTACACCCAAACACCAGTCTTAGTGGCCCAATGAAGATCTTTCAGTATACCTACATAGCTATTAGCAAAACTTTATTCAAACAAGATGTTCAGTGGATAATCAGACCTCCTCACCTTATATGCATGAGGACCAGAGTGTACATAGAATGGTGGATTTCCAACCCCTGCAGTACCAAAGCCAAGCAGGGGACAAAGGGCAACATGAGGTAAGGCAGGTGGCTGCACCTTGGACTTGGAGGTCAGAGATCTAGGATTCGGAGTGGACACACTGGGTAGGGCTGGCTCCCTTTGAGAAATGCGGCTCTGGCCGTTCTTGAGTTTGTATTTTCCTTCACCAACTTTCCCTGAAGCATGGAGACACCGAGCTCACCCTTCCCTGCCTGTGATCATGAGAGACAAGGGGCAGGACAATTGCTAATTGATCATTCTGATCCATTTGTATCGAGTGTGATTACCCCATAGCAGATGCCATCAGTGCTCTGCCCAGAGCCCCCTGTGAGGGGTTCCAACTCTTCCAGAGAACGCCTTGCAGAGCACAGGACTCTGAGACTCTGAGCCCCTTCCCCAATTTCTGTGTGCTTTTGCTGAGAGTACCCCACACCACGGACCTTGGGCCACCAGAGCTACTTTTCCCAGCTGAAGCACCTGCGAGTTCATGTGCCTCCAGGGCAGCTCATGGCCACTGGGTGAGTGACCTGGGGAAAGGGGGCAGAAGGTATTTTCAAAAATAACCACAGTATTTTTGATGCCACCTGTTTTTTCAGTAACTTTCTGTACTCCCCACACCAAGGGGTGGAATCCATGTCCCCTCCCTTTAAGCTTGGGGCAGCCATTGTGACTATCTCAGTGTAGAACAGGTTGGAAATGACTGTGTGTAATTAGGAAGGCTGGGGCATAAAAGGTCATGTGGCTTCCACTCATAGCTCTTCTGCGGGAGGCTCGGCACGGGAACCTGGCCGCCATGTTGGGAGGAAGCCCAAGCTGCATGGAGAGTGATGCAGATTCCCCAGTGAAGCTCCAGAGAAGGCCTTGGCTAGCAGCTGGGATCAAACCCCAGACCTGTGAGTGACTGGGTCTCCAGCCATCCTGGCTCCTAGCCTCCACGTCACCCTGACTGAGTGCAACAGAGGTGAGCTGCCCTCTTCAAGCTCTGCCCAAACTTCAGGTTCACGAGCAAAACCAAGCTGCCTCTGTTTCCAGCCACTGAGGTCTGGCATGGTTTGTCACGCAGCAATAGAATCGGGGCACAGGGGTGGCAGGCAGCCCAGTTCCCCTACCTCCTGTGGACGCCAAGTCCCCTGTGCTAAGATAAACTGAGAACCTCCCCAACCCAGAGCAGGCTTCCAGTCGCCTCTAGTGAAGTTGAAAGTCAGATTTTTGCTTTATCATTCCAGGACAGACAAAACCAGAGAAAGTGGAGGCGATTTGCTTCTCCCATACAACGTGGTGCTGGTGCCAGAGAGAGCAGCAGCAGCAGGACACAGAGATGTGGGCTGCTGGACGCGCCGGCGTGGCTCTGGCTGAGCGTCCTTGCAGCGTGGGGCCACCCTGCCCACTATGGGGCACACCGTCCTCTCGGAGCAACCCTCTGGGATGCAGGGGCCCGGTATTGGTTGCTCAGTGGCCCCAGTTAACACTGTGACATTCAACAATTGCATGGTGTGGCAGATGCCACAGCCCTTCCATGGACATTTGCACAGCTCACCGTCACCCACCTAAAGGTGTCGTCAGCCTATGTTGTGTGACAATGGACTCCAAGAGCTTGGGTGATCGGCCCCAGGTCATTACTGGGCTGGGACCCTGTCCACCTCACTCTCCTGGGCACTTAGAGCTTTGCCATCTGCATCCAGACGCTTCAGCCACATCAGGGTCCTTGTCCCGCCCAGAGCCTTGCTGTCCCACCACTGCCCCTCTAATGTGGAAGCAAGGGGGCCTCACCTGCTTAGGATTTTTGCTCTTCTATTGGGTTTCCGAAAGGGTCCCTGGCTCTTCGTGTTTCCTACCATGAGGAGTTGGGGAGGGTTGGCCAGAGGCTTTCACAAGGGTGGGGAGAGTCCTGCCCACCACATCTGGGTACCTGGGGTCACCCTTCCTCTAGCTCCAATCCCAACATGTGCACCATTTCCCCCAACTACAATTTATCTGAGCATCTCAGTCCTGGGGGCCCCTTACCCCAGCCCCTATACCCAGTACCAAGAGCTACGCAGGAGGGCCACAGAACGTCTCCCTGCCCAGGGAAACACCCCCACATGCTGACTCTGGATCACCTCTGCTCCGAGCACAGCCCAGGCCTGGCAGCGTTTACCCCGCAGCGCATTCCAAGTCAAGCCCCCAGTTGTTTGGCAACGTCAGGCTGACAGCAGCTGCACAGCCAGATGTTGACCAGCACACAAAGTGCACTTTGATGTTTTTTTAAACTAATCTCTGGGGAATTCTAGCTCACCCTGAGTCCTCCCAGGAAAAAAAAAAAAAAAGAGCTGAAAAGCTGATTTCTGGAGACTGGAGGGGCAGGGCATGAGGGCAGCAGCCAAGGGGCAGGGTGAGAGTGAAGCAGGTGGACATCGTGCTTGCAGCAGGGAGGGGCCAGCTGGAGACAGGCAGGGTGTGGTGCCAACAGGCCAGAGGTCTGGGTTAGGCAGGGGGACCTGAGACCTGAGGCCACTCCCACAGTGGGGGCCAGCCAGGGGACAGCGATACAGCAGACAAGACCTGCCCTGGACAACTAAGGTCAGCCCAGATCAGCCCTGACCATGCTTCATAACCACAGGTGCCCCTCCGCCTTCTGCTCACAGCCCTGCAGGGATGAGAAGTCCCTGCCCAACACTGGCATCCGAACTGGGGGAGGGATTCAGAAGGCAGAGAACTCTGGGTTACAGACCCTTCTAAGAGCTTCCTAGGGCATCCGCTTCTGTCCTTGGGCTTGTTCAAGATGACCCCGAGGAGGGCTTCATTAGAAGCCTGACTTTGACAGGGAGGACCGTGTGATGTCTCTTTCAGGGAGATATTAGTGGGGGCTCGGCACCCTGCCACCCGTGGTTACTCCCATGTTAGAGATGAGAAAACAGAGGCCCAGGGTCGGTAAGTAACGTTCTTGAGACCACACAGCTAGGAAATTCCAGAGCAGCTCTTGGGAGAGGGTGGGACCCAGACACCAGGGCCGTTTCCTCCTGGAGGCCGGCATCCCAGCCCTATCTGCGGGAGACCCCAGATCAGCTGATCCTTGGCTCCCCAATGCCTCAGGAACCAAACAAGCCTGGCTTGGGGCTGAAGTTTCAATGTTTCAGACATCAATCAGGCCAGAGAATCCCCCAAAAATATCTAGCTTTGGGGTGCTGATCACACCCCTTTTCATATGGGAATGTCGCCTTCACAGATGTTCAGGCTATAAAAGTTTAGCAAACTATACACTTATGATACATGCGTTTTTTTCTGCATTAAATTATATTCCAATAAAAATAAATATTTCAATAAAAAAGGTTTTCAAAGCTACATTTCAAGGCAATTTTCCCAAGAAAAGCCTTCCCAGCAGCTGCTTTTGAGCTATTCAGTTGCTTTCTCCAAGCGTCAGGCAACTAGAGCCTCGGTCCTCATTACAATCAGAAACACCATATTTAAAGAATATTTTCCCTCTAAAATGATTGACAGATGATGGAGCGCTATGCAACTCTTAAAACGGGGCAGCTCTTTATGAACTGATATAAACAAATCTTCCAAGTTCACTGCGAAAGTTTCGAGCCAGGTATATTATAGGGTATTGTATATG